TGGCACAAGGGATTAAGCACAGTGCTGTGAAGCTGTCCGCAGCCACTGAGGCAGGAGTTCGATCCCCTGGCCAGCCAGCTACCCACACGCATGGCGCAGCAGACCTCTCCTGTCTTGCCCACTGCTCCCCTCAGTGGTATATTTCAGTAGCTCTGCCTGTTCTGCTCCCCACTCTGTCTCTGGTGAATCCCCTCACCTCCAGTACCTCTGGCTTACACCCCAGTTCTTGTATGCATAAATAAATTTAAAAAACAAAACAAATATTTCATTTTTCAATCTGGGGTATGTTCATGGCATCTTAACTATGGTTTTAATTTCCTTGATCACAAATGAAGTGTTGTACTTTTTCCAATTTTTATTGGTCATTTCTATTTCTTTTCTGACATTGTACCCTTTTCTCTATTGAGTTTCTTAGTTTGTAATTATTTCTATTTTAAAATTCAGTCATTTTTTATTTTATGTTTTGCTCTTACAATATAGAATGTGTCTTTATTCCTGTGTGTGTGTGTGTGTGTGCGCACGTGTTTTTTTTTTTTTTTTTTTTTTTTAAGATTTCAGTCTCACAGCAAGTTGCAAATAGAGCTCATGTATTCCTTACTCAGCTACCAATGGTGATGTCACCTTTAGCTGAAAAACCAGGACTATACATTGTATTTAGTTTCCATCATTTTTAAAAAAGATTTATTTTATTTATTTATGCATACAAGAGCTAGGGTGTAGGCCAGAGGTATGGGGGAAGGTGAAGGTGAGAGGATTCACCAGAGATAGAGTGGGGAGCAGAACAGGCACATCTACTGAAATCACTGCTGAGGGGAGCAGCGGGTGAGGCAGAAGACCTGGCCAGGGATTGAACTCAGCTGTGTTTCCATTTTGAAATGACATTGTGATACATCAATCTAATAAAACATTGTATGGTCTTTAAACTTGTTACCTATGTGTTTCAAAGAGTAAACTGTTAAGCATGTTATTTTTTGTTCAAAAGCAACATTTTCTTGTTATTAAAAAAGCTGTTAGAAACTTACCAAATGTGGAAAACTAAAAGTAATACTTAAGAATACAAAAATGTCAGTGAGATATTTTACATTATATAATTACATTAAATACATTTCATGCATTATAATTGACCATAGGTTAAATTCAAATACACCACCGTGTTATGTTGCATTAACATTACAGATCCTAGCCATTGGATCATTCTTGGTACTGGGAGAAAAATGGGGTTTAGTATAGACTTCAGTGGGCTGAAATGTGAGTAGCATGATTTATAACCTTATTGTATAAGAGTCAGTTTTCTCATGTTAGTATTTTCAAGTTTTAGGTTTTTATTTGTTGTCCTTGACTTAGCTGTTAATATAAAATTCATCGGCTAGTGTTATCAATCTGTATGACTATGTAAATACATTGCCAGGACCTTGGAAGGTCCCAGGCAAATGAGGGGCCCTAAGTCATAAACTCCATTAGCTTCACAGTAAACAAACCTCTGAGTGTTACTATTTCTGAGCCTGCCAGTGGGGGCCAGTGCAGGACAACTAAGGGCAGAGAACATGGCGCAAGGCTGTAACTGGAGTCCAGTCCCTTGCTTCATTGGATTGTAAAGTAAAAAAAAGATTTTGCCCAAGGAATACTTTCTGCCACCTGATGAGGACAATTTCTGTGCATGTCTTTGGCATTTTTTCACTGACAAATTCAAGAACTTTAGAAAAATTTTCCTATTAAAAATAATGTGTAGGGGCCTCCCTTAAGACACAACCTATGAAGCTACCCCCAGCCACTGCAGCACAAGTTCAATCCCCAGGCGGCAAAGGAGCAACCCACATGGTGCAGCAGACCTCTCCTGACTTGCCCGCTGCTTCCCTCAGCAGTGTATTTCAGTCAATCTGCCTGTTCTGTTCCCTACTCTGTTTCTGGTGAATCCTTTCACCACCCCCAACTCCTGACACCTCTGGCCTGTAACCCCGTTCTTGTATGCATAAATAAATTAATATTTTTTAAAAATGTGTACTTAATTCATATATATTTTTGTTTATTCAAAGCATAATGAGTCAAACTAAGTGTTCATTAATAGGGTGTGTTAAATAAACTGTGGCATAGTGTACCACGCAAATATTATGTAAAGCTTCAAAATAATGTAGTTTTTATGTACTGATATGCAATTATTAAATTAAATAAATTAGATTTATTTAATCCTTTATTAAGGATTTATTATTAAATGAAAAAAGCAAGTCACAGAATACAGAACAGCATATTGGTCTTTAACATAGGCTGTTTTAGATGTTTGCCTGCTGCTTCAGTTTGAACTGTATTGCTTGAGTCATACTATTAACAGCTTACATTTGTGTTTTGCTTTATAGCAAACAAAGCTTTCATCTGCAACCTTTGGTTTTACCCTTATAACCACTGGATGGGAATCTCTGGGGGTATTGGTCTCTATTCATGAAAGTGGCATATTTATACAACTGGTTTATAATTTGACTTTTTGGATGGGATACTAAGTTTAATCTTGCAGGCTGTAACTTTCCAGAACCTGGAGGAGGACTGTTTATTGATTTTGACCAACTTTTTACATCTCCAGTTTCTTTCCCCATGTGTAACAGGTGATAAGAATAATACCTACTCTCCATTCCACAAGAATGACTGTTGTAGTGGTCCATTGTTCTAATATGTGGGTTGTATTCCTTGGGCGTGCCGGGTGGTAGATTGGAAAATGAATTTCTAATTCAAGTTCTTTGTATTTGACAGAGTACGACCCAGAGCAATTAAGTGACCATCCCAGTGCTCTTTTTACTTAACCATCTACCATGCAATATGTTCACCGCCCTCAACAACATTTTGCGGGGGCCTCCCTGCTGGTGCAAGGGATTAAGACCCAACTTATGAAGCTATCCACAACCACTGCAGCACAAGTTTGATCCCCGGCCAGAGAGCTACCCACATGGCGCAGCAGACCTCTCCTGACTTGCCTGCTGCTCCCCTCAGCAGTGTATTTCAGTCATTCTGCCTGTTCTGTTCCCCACTCTGTCTCTGGTGAGTCCTCTCACCCACCCCATGCACCTCTGGCCTGTAACCCAGTTCTTTTTTTAAAAAAAAGATTTATTTATGCATACAAGAGCTGGGGTACAGGCCATAGATGCGGGGTTGGGGTGAGAGGATTCACCAGAGATAGAGTGGGGAACAGAACAGGCAGACTGACTGAAACACATTGTTGAGGGGAGCAGCATGGGAGACAGGAGAGGTCTGCTGAGCCATGTGAGTTGCTCCCTGGCCAGCAGGGGGCTCGAACTCGTGCTGCAGAGGCTGCAGATTGCTTCATAGTGCAGTGCTTACCCCCTTGTGCCACCAGGGAGGCCCTGTACTCCAGTTCTTGTATGCATAAATAAATACATCTTTAAAAAAAAGGAACATTTTGCAACCTTTGGAGTCCTTTCCTTCCCTCCTGCCTGGCCTGAGTGCTCCAGCCCAGCTAGAGTACTTGGTGTTAAGTCAGCACAAACTATGGAATGCATCCATTTACATGTTTTGTTCAGGCTGGGTTCTTCCTCAGCAGTCCTTATATGACATCGTCCTTGTTGAGATTTAGTCATCCTGTAACTCCTGTGACACCTCCTCCTTCAGGTTGTGACCCCTCAACTTGATGAAATGTTTGTCTGGGAATCTCAGAGCTTACTTTTTATGATCCTTAGTCAGTGGGTATTATTTTACCATACATTATAAACTATATCGTGTTACTTTTTCCACTTCCCTAGTGCTTTGAGCAAGGCCTTATAACAAAGCTGTTAATCTTTGATCACATTTAATTCTCCAGTTGGTTGAATGGCAATAAAATAACACCTGATCAGCCTACCATAGAATGCTATTGTGGTAATAAAATGAGGCAATTAATATGAAACACTTTTTGACAATTTTTAAAGGCAACCCAGCAAGGAGGATGACTCAATGGAAAGCAGTGTGGCAGCTGACTCATATTTGAAATAGCTGGGAAACTGATTATTCTTTTCTTTCTTGCCTGGAGACTCCCAGTGTTGGAGGACATAATCATTGTTTTCAATCTTTTGAAAGGTTGTCAAGTGGAAAACATTCTGTATTGCTCCAGGCAGTGTAACTACTAGCAGGAAAGGAAGTAAAAAGGAATTAGATTTCGGGTCAGCAGGAGGCAGAACTTTCTAACATTTGGAGCTGTGGAGCAGACTGCCTTACTTAAGGTAGTAAAAGCTCCCTGAAACGTGAAAGGTTGAAGCAGAAGTTGAAGATCTCTATGGGGGTGTACAAGAGGGGAACCCTGCCGGGAAGGTATCCCAACGACTTTTAAGGTGTCTTCCAAGTCTAACGCTTCTCTCAGAAGGTTTCCACCAATGTTCAGCTCGGTTAACTTGACATTTGAATATACCTGAAATGTTTTCCTAAAAAGTTCTTATTATTGGCTCAATTGACAATTGAATAAACAACAACAACAAAATCAGTGTGGTCGTTTGGAATAAATAAAAGTCGAAAAAATGAGGAGTGGGAACTCAGTTAACACAATCCAGGGACCACTGAAGGCGATCGGCAACACCTAACAGAAAGCTGAGTGTGTGTGTGAGTGTGTGTGTGTGTGTGTGTGTGTGTGTGTGTGTGTGTGAGAGAGAGAGAGAGAGAGAGAGAGAGAGAACATCCTGAGTGTGGGAGAGAGATTTTCGTCTCGGGCAAGTGACAGTTAGGGGAAACGTGAACGCTCCAACTTGACTGACTCCACCCGCTTCAGCTCGGAGGACGCCTCCCCGCGCAGCCCGGCACCCGGAAGCGAGCGCCGGCTTTGGGCGCAGGACGACCTCCCGGAAGGCGCCCGCGGTCGCCCCGCTGGGCGCGCTGGGCGGGCGGGGCTCCGCGGCCGCGGCCGAACTACCACTCCCAGGGGGCCCCGCGGCGCGGCGCACGCGCAGTGGCGTGGCGGCGGCGCCGCCGCAGGACGCAGGGCAGCCAACAGCAAGTGGCGCCGGCGGCGGCGGCGGTGGCACTTGGCGGCGAGGACGGCGGCGGTGCGCGGCCGAGCGGCGATCGGCGGGAGCCTCGGTGCCCATCCCCGCCTGGCCCTCCAGGTGAGCGCGCGGCCACGTCCCCCCGCGCCGAGCGCGCGGCGCCTGCCTGGCGGCCGTGGCCTAGGGCCGCAGCCTGGCCTGAGCCGGGCCGCGGGGGCCGCTGACCCCGGGCCCTGGGCCCGCCGCTCCGGCGCGGGAGGGCGGCCGGGAGGCTCCGCCAGGCCGGGGAGGGATGCGCCGGCGCGCGGGGTCCGGGCGGCCCGGAGCGGGGAGGGGGGCGCGTGGGGGATGGGATGGGCATGGACCGAGCACCTCGGGGCCGCTTGGAGGGGGAGCCCGAGGCAGCCATCGGCAGGTGGGGAACCGAGGCTGCGGGCGAGAAGGAAGTGGACGGGCTTCTGGGCGCCGCGGCCGGGGGGACGGGGGAGCTCGGGGGCGCTCCTGACAGGCCGGCCTCGAGGGCTGGGGCCAGCCCCCCTACCGCAAACACGTACTGAATTTGGCACCTTTCCACCTGCTGCTGGAGGTCCCAGTGAGGGCCTGTGGGTTGCTTCCCGGTACCCCACCCCTTCAATTTCATCTTTTATTGACAGGCAGAATTTAAAGGATGCTGGCTAGGCGAGCCGTGGAAATTAACAAGGTTCTGTGTGTAAAGCAGCCTAAGACTAGGGAGACACGGGGATAGGGACAGAGGAGAGTGCAGTTGCAGGAGGAATTACTGTTTTTATTTTAAAATGTGTGACAAAAGTCAGTTTGAGCACCAAGGCTTTCAACTGGAAAGAGTTTTTAACTGGAATTCACCAGTTGGTGGGTAGAATTCGGGGGTCTTGAGCTAGAATGGGGGTAGAACCACAGATTACCTGATTACTGCACTTTGTCATGTCTTTCAGTTAGGAATGTGGTAGCAAACCACAGTAGAATGATTAGTGCCTGTGACTTTGTCGCCAATAAAAATTACAGATAATTTTGATTCATATTTACAGTTGGTGCAAATATCGCAAAATATTTATACTTATTTCTTGGAATTTGTGGTGTCCTTAGACCCACTGTTAAGTTTTTGTTTTCTAATGGGATAATTACAACTATATCTGTGTTTTCTTATAGTTCAGTATAATTGGTTTTCTTTGTAATCTCCTATATTAATTAGACATTTGAAAGCAATCTAAGAAGGAGTTCATAGGCTTCATCAGACCATCAGAGCAGTCCATGGAGATGGACTCCTGGAGTAGGAATAAATTTTTTGGGTAAGTCTGCCTGGAAGAATATTTGAATCATTAGATAAGAAAGAAGACAAGGCAGATATGATGGCTGTGTACATGGAAGAGGGAATTTAGTAATTAGGGAAATAAAAGATTTGACTGGGATGAGGAAATAGTTTTCAAAGATAGAAGAAGTCGTGGATAATTCAGTCGGGGTACTAGGGATCTGCAAAATAATCTGAGGAAGAAAGGAAAGTGAATACTTTTTGGCCTTTAGGTTTTTATACTAAGGCACTTCCTAGTTCCTAGTGATTGAAGCCCTCCAAGATCTTGCATAAGCCTCTGCTGGTTTTCTTTAAATTATATAGGTTGTTTAGCTGTTAGAGAGAGGTGTTTTAATTTTTCCATCCTTACATGCAGAATAGCAGGAGCTCTCTTCACGTGTATTTTCTTATTGTTGCAGTTTTATATTCAAATAGAAGCAAATATGTAGATTTTAGAGTTGGTAAGGCATTTTCTTGGAATTCTTTTTATTTTTTTATTTATTTTAAAAAAGATTTATTTATTTATGCATACAAGAGCTGGGGCACAGGCCAGAGATGGTGGGGGGTGAGAGGATTCACCAGAGGCAGAATGGGGAACAAAATAGGCAGATTGACTGAAATACACTGCTGAGGGTAGCAGCGGGAGCGACAGGAGAGGTCTGCTGAGCCATGTGGGTGGCTCCCTGGCCAGCTGGGGATCGAACTAGTGCTGCAGAATCTGCGGATTGCTTCATAGTGCTGTGCTTAACCCCTTGCGCCACCAGGGGGGCCCTTGGAATTCTTTTAATTCTTATAGTTTGGTTTCATTTTGGCACCAGACTTCTCACTGATAAATCATTCTTCATGTGTTCAGAATATTAGGGGATTTGAAAGTTGTACCTGCTTGTAAATCACCTATCAACATCTTGAGTGAGTTATTTTTTTCTCTAAAATATTAGCAATAATAGAAAGCTATTGCAGCAAACTTTTGCTGGAAAAAATAAAGGGGCTGTATGGAAAGGTGAAGTATTTTGTGAAAGAGATGACTACAGTTCAATTGAACATACCATTTTTTTAAAATTATTTTTATTTATTTGTGCATACAAGAACTGGGGTGTAGGCCAGAGGTGCAGGGGGGAGAGGTTTCATCAGAGACAGAATGAGGAGCAGAACAGGCAGATCTACTGAAATACACTGCTGAGGGGAGCAGTGGGCGAGACAAGGCGGGGTCTGCTGCGCCATGTGAGTTAGCTCCCTGGTCTGGGATTGAACTCATGTTGCAGTGGCTGGGAATATCTTGATAGTGCTGAGATTTAACCCCTTGCCTCACCAGGAGGTCACTGCACATACCATGTTGCAAATCCCTGCTTTGAAGAGGTCTGATTTGGACATGGTCTGTATATTAAGACAATGTGAATGTCTTTTTAAATGAGGCTCTTCTACTTTGTGATCCTAGATTGAGCTAAGTGACACTGAATTCTTTATATCAGATCAAGAAAAACTTTTTATGTCTGATAGAATCAAATAATAGTGAAGATGTGGTTGAACATGATAATTTTAGAAACTGCTGGTAGTGTTTAAATTGGGATAGCTACCTTAGAGTAAATATTTGAATTACTTAGTGAAGTTGAAAGTGTGGTACACCCTACCCCATAATTTCACAACTTCTAGACGGCAGTATGAATGGGAATTAGTGACACAGGTGATGATCGCTGGAATTTTTTTTTTTTAGACTTGAAGCAACTGTGCCAAGATTAACCTGAATTTTGGGAGGCAGAATTTGAGTGCTATTTCCCTATTAATTTTTTTAATCCAGAAATTTTTGGATTTTTGAAAAATTTTAAGCCTTCTGAGTTGCAAGAGTGCTACAAAACACCCATATACTCTTCACCTAGATTTGATAACTATCAAATTTTACCAAGTTTGCTTTAACCACAAAGAGACACTTTTTTTTTTTTTTGGCCAAACCATATGTGAGTTAGGTTTAGATACCATCAAAATACTTTAGCATGTATTTCCCAAGAATGTTGACTGTCTTCTACACAGATGCAATTCATTTGTCACCCTCAAAAAATTTAACATGAATATAATAAATATTGCTTAATATACAGACCAGATTTCTCCAGTTGTCTCAATATGGTCCTTAGCTTGTTTGATCCAAGATCAAAAGGCTCTTGCATTACATTTAGTTACCTGCTTGAGTCTAGGATGATTTTCCAATCTTTTTTTTTGGGTCTCTCATGACATTCATCATCCAGACTAGTTGTTTTGTAGAATGTTCTTTAATTTCAATTTATTTGAATGTTTCTTTATGATCAGATACTGGTTAAATATTTTTGGTTTGAATGCAACATAGGTGATTTTACATCTCTTTCAAGGTATCACATCAGAGGCACAAGATGTCAATTTCATTATTTATAAAAATCTGATTTGACTAAGATAATGTCTGCTAGATTTCTATTGTAAAGGTACCCCCATTCCTTTATAATTGTGATCTGTGAAATGATAATTGAAAAAATTGTCTCAGAGTCATCAGTTATTTTTTAAAGATTTATTTATTTATGCATACAAGAGCTGGGGTACAGGCCAGAGATGCAGGGGGGTGGGGTTTGAAAGGATTTACCAGAGACAGAGTAGGGAACAGAACAGGCAGACTGACTGAAATACACTGCTGAGGGGAGCAGCGGGCGAGACAAGAGACGTCTGCTGCGCCATGTGGGTTGTTCCCTGGTTGGCCGGGGATTGAACTCATGCTGCAGAGGCTTCAGATTGCTTCATAGTGTGGTGCTTAACCCCTGTGCCACCAGGGAGGTCCCCAAGTAATCAGTTATTAATAGAGATACCAGTTACAAAGGATCGAGAAAATTTAGATTGGAGATATCACTGCTCAGTGAGAGTGGGAGATCCGGGAATGCTGTGTGGAGGAGATTTGAACCGGACTCACATTTGAACTGGGCGCTAAATCATAGCTGTTACTGGAAATAGGCATTTGGGAGAAGGAAATAGGGATTCAGGTGAAGACAGAAACTTGAACACAAGACAAGGAAGTAAGGATTTGTGGACTGAATAAGAGAACAACTTAAATCTTCCCTTCTTCCCCCTTCCTCTTCGTGTGTTAGGTGCATGTGAGGGAAAAATGGGGAAAAATTATAAAGGTAGTTGGGGATGAAAAAAGCTACTCAGCATGTGATGGTTACCTCCAGTTGGGTCGCTCCCTTCTAGAGCCCTCTACAGGGAAATTGCTCACCAGGAACCGAGGTCTGCATACTGAAGACCCAGAGGCAGCATGGGGGAGTGAAGAGTGTGGGCTGTGGAGTCAAACCAGTTTTGAATTCCTTCTCTGCTGCATGATAGCTCGATGATTAGGCAGTAAGTTATTTGACTTTTCTAAACCTGTTTCTACTTCTGTAAAATGAAAGTGATAAGTACCTATCCCAGAGGATTAAATCTGATAGTAGTCATGTGTGGGAAGCAGCAGGAACACGGTTATTACTTGTAACTGCTAGTTATCCTTCGTTGTCCCAGCTCTTAGTCTGCTTTCATTCTTTTCCACCTGGTTACCATATCCTTGACTTTAAAACAAGGCCAACTCTTCTGGTGCTTTCTTGGCCTCTATCTAAGTGCCACTTTACCCCGTTTATTCCGCTGTGAGTTTATGAACTGCTTTCCAGTGATGGCAGGTAGCACCTCCCATCTTACAAGATGATGCTGTCTGGTAATGATACTCTGGAAATTGCAATGACATGTATTAAGGGGTGCAACTAATAGTACAAAATTTGCCGTTCCTTACATGTAATGTGCTTCAGTGTAAATTAGTTGCATTGAGAAAATTGTCCCTATTATTTATGGAAAATTTAAGAGGGGTTGTGGGTATATTCCCAATGGAAAACGTTCTCTCTTTTTTTAGGAGTGCATATATTGAAGAAAGTTGATTATACATTACTCTTGATTTCTCCAAGGTAAAGTATGATTTTTATTTTTGTAAAAGCCTTTATAAGTGGAATCCCTCTTACTTTGGAAAAAATAACAATACTAGAAAAAAGATCTCAGATGGTTAATTAAATTTTTGCCCTTCAACTTTCTTCCTTTTTTTCCACCATACGTATTTCCTTCTCTGGAGTTAATTTTTTCTGAGACAAGAAGAATTTCAGTTATGTATTTCTTTTTCCTTTTTTTTTTTTTTAAATAGAGGCATGTTTTTATTTATTTATTTGTTTGTTTGTTTGTTTTGTTTATACAAGCACTGGGTACAGTCAGAGGCGCGGGAGGGTGAGAGAATTCACCAGAGCCAGAGCGGGGAGCAGAGCAGGCAGAAGGACCGAAGTACACTGCTGAGGGGAGCAGCGGGCGGCAGGAGAGGTCTGCGCGCCATGTGGGACCCTCCTCCGGTGGCTGGGGAGCAGCCGGGGATCGAACCGGCGCCCCAGAGGCCGCGGGCAGCTTCGCAACCCAGCGCTCAACCGCTGCGCCACCAGGGAGGCCCTCTTTTTCCTTTTTTAAAAAGATTTATTTATTTATGCATGCAAGAGCTGGGGTACAGGCCAGAGGTGTGGGGGGGGTGAGAGGATTCACCAAAGACAGAGTGGGAACAGAACAGGCAGACTGACCAAAGTACACTGCTGAGGGGAGCAGCGGGCAAGTCAGGAGAGGTCTGCTGCGCCATGTGGTTTGCTTCCTGGCCGGCTGGGGATCGAACTCATGCTGCAGAGGCTGTGGATTGCTTCATAGTGTGGTGCTTTAACCCTGCGCCACCAGGGAGGCCCCCTTTCTTTCTTTTTTTTTTTTTTTCCTAAATTTAAACTGCCTAAGCTTGTGTTTACATAGACTTATATGCAGTTCTAACTCTTTAATAATCCTAATTATTTGCATTTGAAAAGAAACTGGGATCAGTAATTTCTTACCGTGTACCAATTTTAGAAGCATCCTGGGCACCAAGCTATTTGATTTCTGGTTTTCAAAATTTTGGTAATTACAATTTCCTTGTTTATGATTATCTGTATTTTCTGGATATGTTTCAATGTATATTATGATTGTGTAGAAACATCTTCAGAAGGGCAGTTCTTCACTGTTCCTAAGCTGAAAGCTAGTTTTGAACTTCACAATGCAATGGTCAGATGTGGTAAGTCTCTGTTGATACTTCAATACAGTGAAGTGTTCTCCTACAGAGAAGTGAATGGTTGAGCCAATGTTTAAGAAAAAACTTAAAGACTTTCTATATTGTTTTTTTTTTTTTTTTTTTTGAGTTTGAAGGTGAACCTGATAAGTGTTTACATCTGGAAGTATAATTTAATGCTAACACTGTGATTATATATCTTTAAAGTCAGAATTATCTTTGTGTACACATTTTTTTGGTAAGCCATTTTCAGATATAAGGCTTTAAGCATACTGTTCTAACTGTAAAATCAGGCAAGATGTCTGATCGCTAATTTAAGATGTCTGTCCAGAGTGGCTTGCTTGGTCTTGCTTCCAAGTAACGCCAGTCCACCCACGCTGGAGACTAGTAGGAAGCATGTTGTCAAACGTGTTCAGTTCTTCCTTTTTTTTTTCCCTTGCTATTTTATGTTTCATTTTGTTATCTGTGAATCTTTGAAAAAATTAAACTGAGGTCTTGCTGTTGGAAAATTTAAGAGACGGTTAAGTGATATTTAGACTATTTACCTTTTTCCAGGATTGGAGTCAAGTTATTTTTTTTTCAGGCGGTCTTAATTTTATCTAAATACATGTATTTTTAAAATTTTCAGGACCTGAATGAAACTCATTTATGTTCAACCTGTTCTGTCTCCTTTCACTTTCTGTTGCAGAATTCTCACCCATTTCTTGGTTTTACTTCCATTATATATGGATCATGACTACCTGACAAAAACACATCAAGTCTAAAAGTCATAGCGCTTAAGGCAGAATTGCAAGATCTCTACAAATATGAATTTCTGTACCAGAAAAGAATAGGTGAATTCTTTTGCAGAAATTATTTCATCCTTACTGTCTCCTTTAGAACTCAAGGAATCTAACTTTGATTCCTCTGAAGTATAGCACTTTGTAATACCTATTATTCAAGGTAGTGAGGGGCCAATTTTGATTCTGATGGAAAATGACTAATTAAGCCTACCAATTAGTGTCTGTTCCATCATTTCAAAGCATTACCATAATAGTAAGAATAATAATTGCCAACATTTCTTGAATTGTTTCCTCTTGGCATTATGTAAACTATTTAAAATTATGAATTCTATAATTCTGTGGAAACATCTTTTTAAAAATGAGTTTGTCAGTCATTTACATGTCTGTGTAACTTTGGGGTTACATTTTTACTACTCCATATGTGCACCTGTTTCATTCACCCTTCCATGGAGGTATCTTAGCAGTTGATTTCTTTTTGAAAATGTTTACCTAGATGCTTTCTTTTCTTTTTTTGTGACCCAGAGGTTCCTTTTATTTATTTATTTAAAGATTTATTTGTTTATGCGTACAAGAAGTGGGATACAGGCCAGGGGCCAGGGTGGGTGAGAGGATTCACCAAAGAGTGGGGAGCAGAACAGGCAGATCTACTGAAATACGTTGCTGAGGAGAGCAGCAGGTGAGGCAGGAGAGGTCGGCTGGGCCATGTGGGTCACCTCCCTGGCTGGGATGGAACTCATGCTGCAGTGGCTGCCAGTAGCTTCATATTGCTGCCTCTTAACCCTTTGCGCCACCAGGGAGGCCCCCAGAGGTTCCTTTTAGTTGGGACATAGTCACAAATAGTAATGCGCTTTGAAGCTTGATAATTATGATTTTATGAAATGCCATTCTGTTCAATGTGATAAAATGGACATGATAGCCTGCTGTTTACATGCTTTTCTTAATTTTGAGGGTGGACTTTTGGATCTTGAAACAGGCTTTACCAGTATGACAACTCAGCAGAAATACAGCTGACATGCACAGTTCCTTTTCTGCTCCTCTCTGGGGTTGTTTTGTATGCCTTCTGTATTTATGGAAGCAGCTAAGTTTATCCAGGGGCCAAAGCTTCCTCAAAGCATGTGGGTGGTGAAATCTTCCTCTCAAAAGTCAACAGAGGCTTCTGAAGATTTTCTTTAGTTATTTGGTTTCTCCTGGTCTCTAGGTTTATACATGTTTTCGTGAGTTGGTGGACATTGTTGAATCAAGGAGGAATTTAGATTTTGGCGGTATTTAATTTCAGACTAATAAAATTAATGGTAGTTTATCAAATTGTGAAAGTTCCTGAGTCATTTCTAGATTGGGTGGATGTTTTTGTATCATTTATTGTCTACGGGAAATAAAGGATGTAATGTTAATGCTATTGCAGTTCTGCTTTTTTGGTGGTTAGCTTGTTATTGTTGAACTATGTCTAGAAATTAAGTGCTGCATCCATTTTATTGTACTTGAAAATTTTCACATTCTTAATGTTATTCGCAGAATTTGGAGCAGTGTTTAATTGCACTAACAGCTCTTTCAGCAGGGAAAAATCTTAGCACCAAGTTTTTATTTATTTTTAATTATTAGTGTATTAAATGTACTTTGTTAAAAAAATTAAAAGTGTAAAAAATAAAAGCTTTTCTTCCCCTCATGTGTATACATATACTATGTTATTTGGATTTTTTTCCTTTTTCCAGCAATTATAGGTGACACTTGTGCTAGCTGCCCACTTTATATATGACAATATGAATGTTCATTCTGAAGCAGGTTTTCATTTATGTCCTTTTGAAGATGAGGCACCTGTGGCAAGAAGTAACTAGTCAAAGCTTACATAGCTAGTGAGAGGCCACACTGAAATTTGAGCCTGGGTAGTCTGGGTCCAGGTTTGTGTTTGTTTTTTTTTAAAGATTTATTTTTCATTTATTTATGTATATAGGAACTTGGGTGTAGCCCAGAGGTGTGGGGGATAAGAGGATTCACGAGAGACAGAGTGGGGAGCAGAACAGGGACATCTACTGAAACGTACTGCTGAGGGGAGCAGCGGGCAGGGCAGGAGAGATCTACTGCGCCTTGTGGGTCAGCTCCCTGGCCAGGGATTGAACTCTTGTTGCAGTGGCTGGCAATAGCTTGATAGCGCTGAGACTTTAACCCCTGCGCCACCAGGGAGGCCCCCAGGTTTGTGTTTTAACCCCTGTACTACCTCCGGAATCTTGACCATACTTATCGTTCTACAAGTTGCTTTATTCATATAATGAAACATAATGAAATATAATGAAACATAATCTTTCTTGTTTACCTCTACCTCCTTAATAATTATGTGGTATCCCCTGCTAGGGATGTACCGTAATGAACTTAACTTAATGTGTCTTTCATACATAATCTTGTTTAATATTGCCAGGCACATTAGTAATGCTTTCAAGTAATGTTTTAAAAAGTCAGTGTTTTTGAACTGGGATAGTGAAAATACACTAGTATATAATAAGGAATGCACTTACTAGCTGTTCAGGTGTTTACATAGTCTCAACTGAGTTGTACAATAAAGTCTGAGCTTTGCTCTTACACATTTGTTATTTATGAATTTCATTATTCTTGTGGCCTGTCTTTTTAGCTCTGGACTTTTTTTTTTTTTTTTTTTATAGAGGCATGCTTTATTTATTTGTTTGCTGGTTTGTTTGTTTGTTTTGTTTATACATGCACTGGGTACAGTCAGAAGCGCGGGAGGGCGAGAGAATTCACCAGAGCCAGAGCGGGGAGCAGAGCAGGCAGAAGGACCGAAGCACACTGCTGAGGGGAGCAGCGGGCGGCAGGAGAGGTCTGCGCGCCATGTGGGACCCTCCTCTGGTGGCCGGGGAGCAGCCGGGGATCGAACCGGCGCCGCAGAGGCCGCGCGCAGCTTCGCAACCCAGCGCTCAACCGCTGCGCCACCGGGGAGGCCCTGTCTTTTTAGCTCTGGAAAATGAGCATATTGGGGGTATGATCTACATCTGTTTGGATATTTCTCACTTACTTTTGGTAGGGTGTAGAATTTTGGTGTCATAACAATTTTAGTGTCTGTTACAGTGTTAATTTGAGTTCAGAATACTCTGGTTTTCTCTAACTTGCATTTTCAAAGCGGTGTGGGCCTCCCTGGTGGCACAAGGGATTAAGCACAGCACTATGAAGCTCTCCGCAGTCACTGCAGCACCAGTTTGATCCCCAGCCTGCCAGGGAGCAACTCACATGGCTCAGCAGACCTCTCCTGTTTCCCATACTGCTCCCCTCAGCAGTGTATTTCAGTCAGTCTGCCTGTTCTGCTCCCCACTCTGTCTCTGGTGAATCCTCTCACCCTCCACACCTCTGGCCTGTATCCCAATTCTTGTATGCATAAACAAATAAATCTTTAAAAAACAACAACAAAAACAAAGCAAGAGTGCCTTTCAGTTCCCTGTACTTGTGCCAGGGTTATTTGGTACTAAGTCTACCTTTTTTTCTACAATGTTTCACTCTTGTTTCAATGTGCCAAGAAAAGACATTAAAGAATCATTTGTTTCCATTTTACTCTTTTCTGGGGGAGGTTTTTTTTTTTTTTTAAAAATATTTATTTATTTGTTTGTTTGTTTATACAAGCACTGGGCACAGTCAGAAGCGCGGGAGGGTGAGAGAATTCACTCGAGCCCGAGCTGGGAGCAGAGCAGGCAGAAGGACCAAAGTACACTGCTGAGGGGAGCAGTGGGCCGCAGGAGAGGTCTGGGCACCATGCGGGACCCTCCTCCGGTGGCTGGGGAGCAGTCGGGGATCGAACTGGCGCTGCAAAGGCTGTGGGCAGCTTCACAACCCAGCGCTCAACCGCTGCGCCACCGGGGAGGCACAGGGGGAGTATTTTTTAATTGTGAAGAAATATCTTTTTTAGTACATTAGTAATTATTTCAGCTATGCTCATTGGAAATTTAGTAAGTATTTTCAACTTAGATTCAGCTACTGTTCTCTACTTGTCTTGGAAAGTCCCAGGCTGATTCCAAACTGGAGCATTGCTCTTTATAATTCAGTCATTTATTTATTAACTATTTCTAAATTCAAACATTTATTTGGCACCTGCAGAATCCCATCACTCCGCTAATTTATGGGGATACCAGGATGACTTATTTCTGTACTTCAGGGAATTTGAAGTTTTGTTGAGAAAAAACATTTTTTGTCATTTTCCATGCAAAATGTGATAATAGACATTAGCTCAAATGAGAAAGTATCTGAGTGGAGAGAATGGCCAAGCCAATCTGACCCTTTGAGTTGAGCCCTGTTGCCTAAGTGCGATTTAACTAACCAGTCAGAGGAGTGGACAGAATAGGGGCTACATAGAAGTCTGGTCTGTGAAAGCCACTGAAAATTGTCACCAGTCTGTTGTATATTCCTGTAAGAATGTAGCTCAACAACAGTCCTTGTCTCTCTTATTTATCAGTGCCCAGTACATGGTATATGCATAAGAGACATTTGTTTGTTGAATGAATAAGTGATGGAAATGTGTTAAATGAAGCTTTTATGCATGTCTGTCCATTTATTGGAAAGAGATAAGTCATTACTTCTAACACCAGACAATTTTTAGAGCAGGTAATTCAGCAAGACATAGATGAGTATGAAACTTTCTGCATGGAAGAATTGAAGTCTTTTAAGGGAAACAATGTGGACAAATCATTGTAATTCAATATGATTATTTATAAAAGATATTTGCAAGAGATGCCTGTCTCTTGAATGGAATGGTTAGAGCCCTGAAAAGTAGTGGTTAATTAAAATAAACCCTCAAATTAAAATTATCTGACAAAATACAGGAACTAATACTGTGGTTAGAGCATTAAAAAATGGCACTCTCCTCCCTGGTGGCACAGGGGGTTAAGACACAACCTGTGAGGTTGTCCCTAGTAGCTACTGCAGCACGAGTTCAATCCCCAGCCCACCAGGGAGCAGCTCATATGGCGCAGCAGACCTCTCCTGACTCGCCCCCTGCTCCCCTCAGCAGTGTATTTCAGTCATTCTGCCTGTTCTGTTCCCCACTCTGTCTCTGGTGAATC